CTTTCAGTGCAGAAAGTGAGTTTTCCAAAATGTTGTTATTTGAGAAGAAGCTCCGCGTAATTACTTTTGGCACAAAAAGTGATTATGCTAGAAGTGCAGGAAATCTATAAATAGCTTTAAACTCATTTTTTTTATTATTTTTTCTCATTTTTTTTCTTTCCACACTTTTAGAGAGTCAGAGAGAGAGGATTGGGAGAAAATTCCAAGGCTTAAATCTTAAGGAATCAAGTTAGGAATTGGATTCATGGAGCTCATCTTCCACTTCTATTCTAGTTTTTCTTTCTCTCCTTTTTTCTATAATGTCGTTATAATTCTCTTTAGTTAGGCATTGATGGATCTGAATTTGATATTGTAACTTGCTTGTGGATCTGAACCCTAAGATCTTAATTAAATTGAGAATTTAATTCTTTCCTTAATGCAATTCTTAGATGAACTATTCAATTGAATTGAATTTAGAGAATTTTCATCAATGTTGAGTTAATTTCTCATATCTGAATTGAATGCCAAGGTTATTAATATCTTAGAAATAAGCATTTATGATATTGTGATCTATTGATTTCTAACACCTAATGCAATGTTTGATTGAATTACATCTAAAGAATTAGAGTAGTTAATTGAATATTAAAATCATTGAGTCAATGAATTAAACTTTGATTAAATTAGTGAAATTGATCATCAATCAATTAAGAAACTTAGGAGTTCATAGCACATTCAAGTTTGTAATTGACAAATTGGTGAAATTTGTAACACTGCTAATTTTGTTATTTATTGTTATTGCTTTATATGTTATTTATTTATGCATGATATGTGAAATTAGGAGAGTTTAAAATGTGAGAGTACAGTTGTAGCGAGACAGATCGTCTAGAATCAACCTCTCTAGAGCATTTTCACTATAGCAAGAGATTTTCGCTGCAGTGAGAAGTGGATAAGACTACCCTAACCACCCCTTCACTGCAGCGAGAGATTTTCGCTGTAGCATGATCATTGCGAGTCTGATGGGTATTTAAGAGATTTTCAACATGAAACTTCATTCATCCTTCATTTTATGTGTCCTCTCTTCACTCTCTCTAAACTCTCACTTCTTTTCTTCAAATAAAACCCCTTCAAATCCAACTTGGATGTCTAATCTAAGCGACTCCAAGTAAGTTTCTATGAATTCGATTCTATATTCACTATTTATTTCTCTTTGTTTCCTATTTCTTAAGGGTATCTTATGATATTTAGGAAAACTTCTACTATTCAAACGATAATCTTCATCAATCTCTCTCTAAACCTTCATTTTGAGGTAAGGAAAGCTCTATTTTATCATTATACTATAATATATATATATATATATATATATATATATATATTTGTGTTCATGGGAGTATCATTACATAATGATTGTATTGTAATACAAAGCTGGTAATATATGTATTTGATTGGTTGGTTTAAATGATCATGCTTTATGTATATGAAATATAATGTTATAGTCGAGTAATATGTAATGATGTAGAAAAGCTTATGATGTATATTGAATAATCTTAATATGATTCTGTATATGTTGATGTGAGATAGCGATGAAAGATTATTTGATGATTGGAATTGTATTTTAATATTGTAAGCGATGTGGACTTAGTTTGAAAGTGCTTAGTAAGAACGATCTTTTGATTGGATAATGAGAAGTGATATGAAATGGAATATGAGATAAGCATAAAATGCTGAATGGAACTAGTGTGAATATTTATAGAGATACACTAAGAGTATAAAGTCCAAAAACACTAGAAATCTGAGAAAAACGTAAGGTGGTGAGCAATATTCGCATATGTATACACACTTTTTTTTATAGAGAATGCATCACATGACCTCACACTTGATTTTTGACTAGACTCTTGACTATGTCTTTGCTAAGGAGCCCATTATTGTATACATTGTATCTGTATGCATTGGCTAATTTGTGACTATTTACCTAGCTAAGTAAGACATCAAGAAATGTAAGAGACATCGTATATCTGTGATCATAGTGCACAGAGGAGTATGTAGTTGAAAGAAAAGAATATAATCAATTGTGATAAAATATGTATGTCTATGTATATGATTGTGTGTTAAAAGTGTTGATTTTGGTTTTGTGTTTGTTGTGATGATATTTCCTTTTATTATATGACGATTAATATGTTGAAATGAATTGATGTTATGTTTAAATGATAAGACAAACACTCATCCTTACTAAATATTTCAGGAAACAATGATGAATGCAACACAAAGATAGATTAGTTAGTAGATTATACTGTATATTGTAGATTAAACTATCTTTTTAGAGAATATCAGCATTTTGACCATTTTAGTTTTAATATGGATATTGAGAATGGTTAAGTATGTACTTTAGAAATAATTTTAAATTATGATGTACCTTTTGATTTTTCCATAAATAGAGTTCACTATATCCTTAGTTTTTATGTTTATCGAGGCATTGTTAGGCCTCCAAGAGTTGTAAATAATATGTTTACCTATCACAACCATGACCTTTTTGGGAGACCTACTCGATGTACTTTTGAGAGCTTTTCCAGTATAGAGGTTGTGGCAGACTCTAGAGATACATACCTTAGAGAGGATGATGAGTTGGCTGCTGAGGACATAACTGAGATAGAAGGTTGGAATAGTGGTGATAACTAGTACTAGATGCTCAGTTTTTGGATATGAGTTGTGATTGCTCTGAGACTTAGTTTATTTTGGTTATGTAATTATTATTCTAAGTTCTACATCTTTTGATTAACAGTTTGTAAATTATTATACTGATTACATGTAAATAAAAGTTTAGTACCTTTACTTCCTTAATTGTTTTGGTATAATATAATTATCAAATTGCATTTTTCTTATCTCATTCCATCATGTTGGTAAATTTTAGGAATGATTTTATTCGTGGAAAAGTTTTAATTTTCTCACATTTTTATTACCTATTATAAGGAAATTTATCTTATTTTTTCCATTTCCATATGATATATTGTTTAATTTAAAAGTAAAAATTTAAGGATGTTACAAAATCTTCCCTAACTATATTTGATTACTAATTTTATTTCTAAATTTGTCACCGTGTTTTGTTGTTACTCTCTAATTTTTTGCTCTTTATTGCTTAGTTCTTCAAATGTTCAAAACACCTAAAGTTTCGATTAGCTCAAATAACCTTTGATTTGTGAAGTGGTGATTGAATGAACCAATCCCTGAGAATAATACTTAGAACTTAAAATTCTGAATTTTATTACTTGCTAAAACCACCTAATACACTTGCTAGATAGGACTTTAAGAGCATGACAACCACCATATGTTGGAATCTCAATTGTGAACAAGTTTAAGTGTACAATCTCTAATGATTTCTTTATTCTCCGTGACTTTTTTTGTAGGAAATGATTCTTTATTCTTCTTTTCCAATTGGCAAGCCTCACATACACTATTTGGAATATCCACAACAAGCAAGACAGAAACATACTCTTTCTTTGATAGATAATTCAATCCAAAAAAATGAACGTGTCCAATCGCATATCCCATAGCCAATCATGATTCGGTATGATAGAACCAAAGCAAGGATATTTTTCATGTTGAATTTTCAAAGATAATAGGCTATTTGGAATCATTTCTACCTTGGCGATATATCTCCTATTTTTGCTAATCAACGTGCAACTTCGATGATGAATCTGCATGTTGTAGGCTTTCTCTTATAATTGTCTGGCTCAATAGATTATGGTGAAGACTGGAAGCATAGAAAACGTTAGAGATGAAGGTTTGAGAACCATCTTTCAATCTAATTGTGATTTGACCTTTTTCTAAAATTGGAACATTGGTGTTATTGCCAAATTTTACTATAGACATCACTGATTTATCTAGAAAAGGAAACAACTCTTTTTTCCCACACATATAGTTACTATACCCAATATCTAAATACCAAATGTTTTCATCTTCTAAAAAATTATTGCTTGCCAAAAATAAACTTTGTGGATTGTTTGAAATATCGCCAATATCTTGGTACTAATTTTCTGCAATGTTAGCCAGTTGTCGATATCTACAATCTACTTCTTTGTGGTCAAACTTTCCACAATGAAAGCAATTAAAATTAATTTTTTGATAAAAAAAAAAACACCTATACTTTCACAGTTAGAATATCAAGAATTATTTTCACCTCTTCCTTGATTAAATGGTCTAAAATTGTTGTCTTTCCATTAATTGAAACTTTTACACCTTCCTCTTCTAAAATTTCTACGACCTCTAGCCTTGAAATTGCCTCTTTTTCTACTATTGAAATCATCACATCTTCTACCTTCTCCACTCTAAATTATGTTATGTTATTGAAATTCACCTAACTCTTCAACGCTTCTTCATTTATCTTTTATATTTTCTCCAATGTTCTTTTTACATGACTTTTGAATGCTTCCCTACAACTTTGCTACTGACATGGTGTATGTGTTGTGAGATTCTATTATTGTAGCTACCTCATGATCATATTTGATCGAAAAGGAGTGTATAATTTTCTCTACCACCTTGTTATTAAGTATCTCTTCTCCATACACCCTCATCTTGTTGACGACGTCAGTAATGCGAGTGAAATATTGTTTTAAAACTTTTTGAGTTGGACATCTCACATTTATCATATTTTCTCTCTACCACATGATCATATGGACTTTTGGCAGTTATGCATTTTGCTAAAAATAGAATAGTCTACTCTATGTTGGATTTGTGACAATGACAACTGGTCCTTCCTTTGATTTTCTTCATTAGCTTCTTTTGGTAAACTTGGGTCAACAAAGATTCAAATATTACAAGCTTTCAAATGGATAGTCATATACAAGTCCCAATAATTATAATCAAGCTTCCCATCTAGTTTGGGACCTAACCACACAATATTGTAATTGATTGTCATCTCTCACTTTCTAATAGCACTTATCTAAATTTTTTTTTTTTTTAAATGTGAGAACTTTATTGTTCCTCACTCACTCTATTTTTTTCTCTTTATTTTTTTTTTTTACCAACACTTCTCTCAAGCTCACACTACCAATGTTGGATCTAACCAACTTTAATACCAATTTGATATCAGTTGGCCATTATAAACTCTCTCACATATAGCAAAATTAAGAAACAGAGGAAGAGAACTTTTTAAAATTTTATTTAAGAACTCACATGCATGCTTTCTATAGGCAAACGTTTACTACATATAATAATAAAAATATTCTTATTCAATAGCAATTGATTTTTCTTGTTGGCAATGGTTCCTTGTCATGCTATTATTTTGTCATATTAAATGGAAGATGAAAAAGTATTCTAATCACATTGCTTTTGGCCAATAAAAACTTGTGTTGCATGTATACTTGATTTAAATTTAACAATATAGTTTGCATTGTAGCTTTTATATATTATAAATAGATGAATTAGTGTCAATTTTAGGTAAATGAGAGAAAGATTATCATCCAACCTCTCGTTCTTTTGAAATTCAAACCCTTTTTATTCATACCAACACATTTTGGTAATGTTACGTTGCACAATTTTGTATCGAAGTGTATTGGGCAGTTTAGGATTATGTATTATGACTACATTTCTTTAATTATAAACGAGTAAGTACTATTTTACACCTTTTTTAATTTCGTGACCAAATAGGTGATATTCACAATAATGAATTTTAATGGTAAATTTCTTCATCTCGGCTTACATAATAATGACAACTTAGTTATTATACGTTTGTTTTGTTTGAAATGGTTTTTTTGGTAGCATGACATTAAAAACTTTCGGTTTTACCGAACCCGTTAAACGTATAATGCTTGCTTAATGAGTGGCGAACTCATTATCTGTATATTTTAATAATTATCTGGCCATTCACTAACGTCAACAACAGCTTCGTTTGTTCATGTAACGTTCCCAAACTAACTAGTGATTATGGCAAATGTAAATTTAGACAGTATAAGAAGCACAAAGGCTAGAATGAACTTTCTGTAGTGATCTATAGGCCAATTACTAGAATAGATTTGAGAATTCAAATTACGTAGAAATCATATCACAGGTGTTAAATTTGAGCATGTTGCTCAGTCAGAATTAGACCCCTGTTAAACTAGTACTTTCACCTATCACTTTAAGGTGCCAAAACGACCAAACCCGCAAAAGTTCACTATGAGTTAAATATATTAGTTGTTTATTAAAAAACAAAATGATTTGTAGTCCAAAAAAACGTCGAGCGTTCTTAAGATGGCTATTGAGGAGCCAAGACAAATTTTAAAAATAAAAAATTTTAGTATTTTCTGGCATAAAAATAATGCCCCTATTCTAAGAAATAAAATGTAATGTTTGATTTTTACGTCCCTTCTACATTGTTTTTCTTCCTCCAATCTACCCATAGGTGTAGCGGCTAATGATTCCTTAACTTGACAAAGGGGATCAAAATTGTTTTGATAAACTATACATTAATCAAGTGCAGCTTTATTTCTTCGACCGGTAGGCTTGGGCAAGCCATCAAAGATTGGTTTTGCAATTGTTGCAGTTGAAAATGCCTGTAAATCTGGTTTCAAACTCCACATTGAGGTTGGCCAAATGGATGAAGAACCACTGTTTTCTTCATCTTGTAAACAAGAAGTGCTTGATGATTTCCTCACCCCAGATGAACCATCATTTAGATAAGCCTCCCCCACACCTATAGGCACAGCATTCAAAGCACTTGATTCAGAATCAGTTGTCGCTGCAGTTCGGCTAGCCGCTTTCGGTCGCAGAGCCAAGCCCTTTCCTTTTCTTGATGGAAGACCACCGCTGCTGCTACTATCCTCCCTCATAAGCAACTCTGGTATCTGGGTAAAGTCAGCTACAGATTTCTGACGTCTCTGGACAAGTTTATCATTCAATTTATTGGAGTCAACTTCCCTGGTTTTTGCAGCTGGTGCAATATCAGACTTTTCCATAATCTCTTCCAATATTACATTGACCAAACTTTTGGATTTCCGGTGATGACTTAGAGGTCGGTTAGACATAGGTGAGGTTCTGGAGAATGAACCATCTGAGGAACTAGAGGTCAATTTAAGTCCATAGTAACCCTGTAATGAGCTCATGGCTGGGGAGACCTTCCGCTCAAACGACTTCATTCCCAGGGACTGGAATGATTCAAGCAGTTCATGGTGTGCCAGATTAGGTAGACTGTGATCAGAGTAACCATATCTGAAGGGACAACGTTCGTGGCTATCAGTGATTTAAATGCTAATGGGAAAGAAATCACTCAGAAGTAATGATATCAAAAAGAAAATTTATATTGAGATCAACATAAATGGAGAACAACATAAATCTATTCTCTTGTAGCACAATTCTGCTGAGACTTGCACATAAACCTGATTTATTTGTTCATAAAAATTAATATGGTAAGAAACTTGATACAAATGACACCTAAAAGTTAAAACGAGACCCAGAAGATATCAACGACAGAAAGAAGAAACAAAGTACAGTCATAAGAAAGAAGAAAATAACACGATATAATAGGAGAATTTAGTCATAGCATAATAAAGCAGAATAAAAGGAATAACTGTAACTTTAATGATATTATGGGTAAAAGAAGTTCAAAACTAAAAGAATTTGAATTAATGATGTGACAAAAATAAGGATTTAATTTTTCTCCAATGAGAGTGTGAAGAGTTTTACAGTGTCAGCGAACAAAATGTTGCCAACTACTTCAGAAACTGTTAGAAGCCTTCACTTCAAGCAAAAATCAATTTCTACAATTATGTGGCACTGTTTTGTTTATAGTAGCATAAAAAGGTTTTACACAGTGAATACAATCTAAAACCCTGTTCCTTGAATTTATTTATTTTGTAAAATCACAGCAAAGAATTTCATTCTAGACGCATTCAGTTTATCACTGTAACCTGCATATGTTCGTACAAGCATGCCCAACATATGCACTTAATTAAAGCACACAAAATAACTTCGCTGGCTATTTTAACATAAACCGTGCTCAAAATATCAAACTCCTATGAAAGCTCCCATTTAAGGTAAGACATAAAAATTTCCTCTACCGCCCCCTCCCTTTTGTTTCATACAAGATACTTTTACAAAAATTTCAATAAGTAACTCCAAAAAGTATAAGGTAGCATTTGACATGCAAATAGAACGGAATGAAACAGTTTGTCATTTCGATCGAACTCCTTGGTTCCACTAAAGGATGGAACCAAAATATACCTTATTCCTTGTATTCACAGACATAAACTATATGTTATGTTTTGTTACCAAACACAACCTAAGACCTAGCTTCTTGACTTTAGTGCCTATCCTTAATCCAATAGACATAAAAACATACCCTGGAGTATTTGAACCATTTGATAAACAAGGAGAAGGAGGGTGTCTTCCAGGTAGTGGAATGTGGAGACTTTTAAGCGCAAACATCTGATGGTCTGTAACAAGGCCATTCATCTTTTTGATGTCCGCAACCTACAATTTCCCAAAGCAAATAGATCTGAAGAAATTACACTTCATTATACAACTCAAATTGATTAAAGAAGGAAACTTAAGAAACAAGAATTCAGCACAATGTTATACTCCCATCAAACGCGATGTAGGAGAAAAGTAAACAACATCAATATTAACATTAAAGTCGAAAACACTTCAGAAACAAAAACGCAACAAGGGACTAAAAACATCGTAAGAAAAAAAAAAACATTTCAGAACAAAATTACTTTTGAGTTTTCAACATTATTAAAACCTGTTCCTCATCATTTAATGGCGTCCCTACACAGACGATAATTACAACAACCAAAACATTTCAATGCATATCGTATCAGAAAGAGGCTTCCCCAATGTCTCACAAACACTGCATGGATTTGACTCTTACGCCACCATTTCATTATTAAATTCCCCGAATGAGAGAAAAACAAACACCAATCCATAGAACAAATTTAATACTTCCTAAACAATCAAAATCAAGCTGAGACATAACAGGAAAAGGAAAGCACAAAAGGAAATTATAAACAAACAAGCAACTAAATAAAATAAATTAAAATAAAATAGATATATGAAAAAAAGAAAAAGTACCTCAACACCGTACTTGATAGCGATACCAACCAAAGTGTCGAATTTGGAAACATGGTGTTCGATGTAACCAAGTCTTGGTGGAGATGAAGACACCGAATAAGATTTCGTAGGGCTATGTTCTCTGCTCAGAACCTCTCCATCATCATAATCACACAAAAACGTATCGTAACACCCATTGTTATGCTCTTTCCACTTTTCCCTTTCCATCTTAATCTTCCGATTCAACAACCCAAACCCATTTCAGATTGTCGTCGAATTCAAATGGCTGTTGCCCCAGATATCGAATCAGATTCGGCTCAAAACGCGAAATTTGGGATTGATGAATGTCTTTTGGCACAAAAGTGCTGATTCGCGAGGATGCAATTTGCGGATCTGGTCGGGTTGTGTGCGTGTGTTTGCTTTCCTGAATTCAATCAGCGTTTCGTTTTGTTCCACTTTCTCGGAAAACGAAGGAAAATTGAGAATTCTTTCTCTTTTTTCTTTTCCTCAGTTAGAAAGATAAAATTTTCCTGCATTATAAATAATTAACATTAATTAAATAAATAAAAACAAGGGTTTTTTTTTCTGAAAATAAAATTGAATAAAATTAGAATGGAGGTAAAATAAAAATATATACGTAGGAAATTAGTTATAACGATGGTAAAACCGTCGCTAAATCCAAACAAATTGTTGGTCACGGTTTGCCATTGTTAAACTCCGCGTAGATTCGATGGTTTTTTATTTTTTTAATATTTAAAAATAAATAAATTATTAAAACAATTTTTTTAAAAATAATTTATTTGTCTGAATTTTGTTATCAGTGTGTTGGTTCAATTTTTTTAACTTTTTTAAAAAAAATAAATTTCATCCTCAAACAATGATACATGTTAAAATTAAAAAAATATTATACGTAACCACAAAATATTTATATTTTTATAAAAAAAATTGAAAATTTAAATTTAGACTATTAAAGATTAATTGAGAATAAGTAACATCACAAGTCTCACAGTTGCAAATTTTAGACATCAAACATCATTAATCAAATTATTAAACACATGTTAAAATTTTAAAAAGTTTTTTTTGTAACACAATGTCAAATTTCTAACACATGGACTACTTGATTAATTAGATTTTTATAACATCTTCCTAGCTCATTAATCATTTTTTTATGCTTAATTGGTTGAATTAGATCATTTTATGATGTTTGAATTTTATTTGGGCTTTATTTAATTTTTTTAGTATTTGATAAATTCTGATACTATTTTGGTTTCTGGACCATATCTTGAGTTGTAGAACTCCTTTCATTGTAATTCTTGATTTGTAGGAAAGCTAAGAGAAAGGTGCACAATTCCTATGAGAGGTCAAAAACCAATTCTGATGATAAGAAGCTGAAACTGAGCCTGGAAAAAGTCAGAACGCTATAGTCGCGGATCCTGAGCAAGGTGCAGTATTTGGGCCATATCTCAATCCACAGACCTCCGATTAAGCCCATTCCAGTGGCGTTTTGAAGCTGACATCCAAGGCTACAATTGTCCTTCAGGCCACAAACCAAAAAGAGGCCGTTTTCATACCAAAAAAATGGAACAAAGTAACAAACAGAATTTTGAATTTTGAATTTTGAATTTAATTTTTTTTTGCTCTTCTCTTCTCTCGCTCGCTCTCTCTCCCCTTTACAAATTGTTTCCCTCCATCCATGGAGGCTTAGATTTCCATCTAATTCAACGATTAAAAGGGACATGACACTCTTGAGGATTGGTCTCACATTGACATAAATTCAATAATAATTTCGGTTTCATCTCTTCCTTATTTTCTCCTTTTGCTAATTATATTTTTGAATTGAAGTTATTCATTTGGATTGATGATTATACATCTGGTTGATTACGTATTATTCAATTGATGTATGTAATTGAGTTTTAAGGAACATGAATTGGATTTTCAAGTTTGAAAACTACGATTAACGGCATTGATAAATTAAATTGGCACAATTCAATTAGGTTCTAGAGTTTTCTGAATTTTAATTAATTATGTGCTAATCGAATGCATGAAGGTTTTCATGTGAATGCTGAGTTCGAATTGAGGTTTCATTCAGATTCATTGTTAATTATCGAATTGTTTGTTGATGTATTCTCTTAAAAATCCAGTGATAGAGTAGTCATTTTTTTTCTTAATTTTTGGATTGGAATTTAAATTTTTGTTCACTCTTCATTCTAATTATAATTAAGTGCATTTTTTGTTTCTTTTATAAACAAACCCCCCATTTTATATACTCTCTAAATAGATTAATTTTTCCTTGTGATTCTTTGAGAAACGACCCTAGTTGCTTACCTCGTACTATAGTAATTAGGTGTATTTTGACCCGTGTGCGATCACGTGTCACTACTTAATAATTACATATTGTTGAAACCTTTTTTCTCTCTGTAACGCCCCGAATATTTGTAATATTATCATTGTTATATATATATATATATATATATATATGTGTGTGTGTGTGTGTGTGTGTGTGTGTGTGTGAATAGAGGTTAAAATTTACACTTAAGTGCGTGATGATGATGCTATTATGTATAAATACATATAGATGCGTATAAATGTATTTGTATATAATTGGATTGGATTGATTGGACTGAGAAACAGGTTAAGGGTGTAATACTGGGGCATTCTCGCTGTAGCAAGAGGGTCATGGGAGGAAGGCGCGAACGCTGTAGCGAGAGGTCCATCGGTGTAGCAACAAAGCGACAGTTTGGAGTGCAATTCTGGGTGTAGTCTTGCTGTAGCGAGATTCTGCAGAAACTAGAGTGCAGTTTCTTTTAAGATTTTCATTGTAGCCATAGAAGGCGTCGCTGCAGCGAGAATATCTCGTTATAGTGAGAGTGTCGCGACTAGAGAGTTATTTGAGGGGTTAGGGTTTGGGGATAATCATTCCCCACTTCTCCCTTCGAACTCTCTCTCATTTCCCTCAATTCCTAAGCCATTCTTACCGATTAAATTTCCTCCAAAGCCGTTCGAGAGTTAAATTAAATGTTGGATTCTTATTGGGAACGCTTGGAGGTGAGTTTCCATGGTTAGGGTTTCAGTTTCTCATCCCTATTCTCTGTTCTCTTGGTTTCCCTTGGTTCTCATGGGATTCTTTCGTGTATTTAGGACAAAAGTCACGTGGGGATCACTTTCTTGGACTGAATTTGTGTTTGGTTCTTCAATCCGAGGTAAAGGGGGATTATACCCTGTCTTATTTTGCTTGATGATTTGTTTGCTTGTTGTGTTTCTGTAATGTGATTGAGATAGGATATGTGAACTGGTGTGTTTTGATAGATATGCATGTTTGGTATGATTTTAATAATGTTGGAGCCTATTATTAGTAGATTTGGATGAGAAATTGATGTGGAACGTGATGAGTGGAATGATTGAGCCAAATATGGGTCTATGTGCCGTGTATTGTAAATAAATGTGCACATCTATGCCGTGTAATGTGAATGAATGCGGGCAATGTGTGTCATGTGCGAATATAAATATTGTGTATAATTGAAATGTGTGTGAATGGGGCATGTTAAGTGCCGTTGTAATGATGCTATGAATGGTTCAGAGATACACTAGAGGTGTGGCAGATGAGGATGGTAAATATATCTTGGGAAGAGAGAGTGGTGGTGACACCAATAGTGAACATGGGTGCACCACAGACTACACACTCTCCTCCTGACTAGACCTCTGACCACTACCTTTGCCAAGCGACTTATGACCGCACATGTGATATCCGTGATGCGAGGGTAACCAGCGACCATCCATGGTGTGAAACTGTGATCACAGTGCCACAATGAGCATGGTTACGTGCGGTGAGTGCACGAGTGTAAAATATTTTGGTGCCGTGAGCGCATCGGTCGTGAATTGGAATGAAAATGTTGCTTATAATTGGTTATACTTGCGTATAATGTATTAGAACTTATGTGAAGTATGGACAAGGTGAGACTCTATATTTGATTGTGTTGGATAGTGTAGAGTACTCGTCTTTACATTTATTTTTCAGGTGACTAAGACGATCAGCACCAGGCTCAATGAAAGGGTGGATGAAATTGCTATAGCACTTAAGAATTGATGTATTATTTTAAAAATTGATGTATTAATTAAGTCATGTAGTAGTTATTGATTCAAATTATAATTTATCCTTATTTCGAAATACTTTGTTGAACCATGTTTCGAAAACCATTTGAATGAAAATTTTAATTATCATCATATTTATGAAATTCATTTATTTTGGATATTAAATTTGAGGTGTTACACTCTCTTTCTTTCCTTCTCTTTCTTTTGTTCTTTACAATTCTAAAACTTCATTCCACTTTTATATTTCTCTTTCTTCATGATTTTAATAAAGGTATTTAAATAAATATTTTTATTTTTAAGTTATATTATGTCAAATGATTAATTTTAATTATAAATTTTTGTAATTTTTGTTTATTTTAAGAATGAAAAAAATTTCTGGTTTTTGTGTTTAAATATTTGCTTCTCTTTAAGAAAAGGTTAGTAAAATTTTAAATAATTAATTTTATTTTTTAATTTATTATATACTTTATCAATTTACTATAATTAGTTTATGATCTTAAAATGATGATAATTTGAATTTATTTAATTTGCATGTTATTGTTATATAGTTGTCGTAGAAGTGAAAATATTGTTGTAGTAATTATTTTGTATCAAATTAATATAGAGTTAATAATAAATATATTAAAAACACGAAATTAGCTGTATTTAAGAATGAATTGAATAAATAATTTTAAATTTTGATTATTTTTTATTATATATAATTTAAGTTTTGTATTCAGTATATTTTTAACAATATTGGATATATAATTATTAATTAAAACATTAATAATATCTAAATAAAAATAACTAATAATAGAAAATAGTAGTTTAAAAATTATTGAGACTAATAATATTAGATATATAATTATTATTTAGAAATTATACATATTGTAGATAGTTCATTGGTATTTAATTAAGAAATAATAGCTTTTTTAAGAAAATGATTATTAATAATCAATATAATATTTTATATCAGTTTTATTATTAGTTAAATAATAATATGGTGATTATTAGATTTTAAAATGAATTATGATTATTTGTATTTATTAAAAGTTATAATTACAAATTTTTTTGTACTTAAAAAATAATTATAATTTAATTTGTAATAGAAAATAAAGAATTTAGTAGTAATAATGTTAATATTTGTTTTATCATCAGTTAACTAATTATATATTATTATAATTAGCATTTTTATGTTTATAATCATTATTGAAGATTTTTAATTAATTATTCAAAATCATGTAGTTAATAATTGTTAGGAAATTCATACATATATTTATATTTAACCAATACATTAGTAATTAAAAATGTAAAATTTTGATGATCGTTACAATCAAGATTTTCAATGGGATGACAATTATGTGTATAAAAGAAGTGTGAAAAAGGTTGCACCTACGATACTGATGATAGAAAATTGCTACCAAAGTTTAT